TTCTGGGTATATGTAATTCTGCCTGAATTACTACTCTGTACAGTGACAGGACAGGCAAGGCCCCGAGCTTGGGGGGGGGGCACCCAAGGGCGGCCGATTACATAATACATTGCAACAACAAATCTGTGTTATTTCTATATTCAGTTTTTCACCAAAGTGAAAATATAGCACCCATGCGTATTAGATTCTCTTCATTGATAGGCTGTTGCTAAATTAGCTTTAATGCTAAAATAATGGTAATAAATTTTACCATGTTGGGGGGGGGGGGTCAGTTGGAGGGGCAGTGTTTTCTTTTTTGCCTGGGGCCCCCAAGGTCCCTAGACTCACCTCTGATTCTATATATTAATTATTAATCAAATTAGCATATTCAGAATATCAGCCAGGCGCCGTTCATTAGGACGTGTGCTTTGGGTGACGCCTGAGGAATGAGATATTGTGCTGATCTCTGAATGCTGTCTCACATGTTTACAGCCTGGCATCACCGGACGCTGCCCATGTGCTACGGAAGTTGCCCTATGGACAAGGATCCCAGCCGTAGATGCTGCCTTTCCCATCTGAGGCCATGATGCTGTAAATGCCTGGGTTTTGTGGGAGGAATCGGAGTCACTTGCAGAGGTCATTCCTTCCCACTCCAGCACCAACCAACCATCAGTACCTGCGGATCTGCCAACGCTTCCTTGTTTTATTTAGGGGAAAACTGATTATAGTTGTCGATTGTATTATAGTTTATTTTCATACTCTGAGTCATGTTCTATAAAATATGGAAAAAATAACGTTCTGTAATAACTGGAACAGGTAGTATCCATAAGTGGCTTTTAATGTAACATTAACTAACTTACTGGAAGTTCAAGCTGCCTCTACCCGCTTTTATTTTGTTTATCTTTTCTGTGCTCCTGACTGATTTGACTGATTTGACCTGAAGCTATCGCCCTCTTGCTTGCTTGTTAATTGCCCCCCCCTGACTTGATCACGGGCCCCATGGTGCGTGTTGTGCATGCAGGAAGAGGCGGCTCTGGTTTCTGTACACGGGTGACTGAAGCATTGGCCTTATTCCTAAAGCCCGCCTTCAGATTAGGGGTCTTGGGAAAGACCAGACTGGACACTTACTTACTCTCAACCTGGCGGAGACCACAGACCCACGCAAAACAATTTCTTCTGTTCAGAGTAGTTTTATTTAAAGAGCTTCAGGGTTTTCCAGCCAATCACTTCCGTGTAGTTAATTTGAAGTAGGACATTTTTTTGTATTTTCATCTTCCATACAAAAAAAAAAACGACTAACAGTTATCTGACAGTTATCAAGCAGCTCTTCTATTCCACACTGATTCAGGGTGAATTTACAGACTGTTTCATTAATTTATCTATGTTATTTTTACCTGTGCAACAAAGAAAATGTATATTAAGCAAAGGATCTTGACGCGTTTCAGATGAGTATTGGCCCGTGAGTATTGCAAATGAGGTCCATGAGCCCCCTGATAAGGACTCTGAGTGTTATCCCCCCCCCACGCTCAGGATAACAATCCCAGTAGTCTCTCTCCGCTGGCAGATGAATGGGACGGCGCCCTCCACAGTTTACGTAGCTGTCATTCTCACTGGGCAGTATCATCCATACTGTTATCTTAGCTCTTCCAGGATCAATACTGCTTTTCAAGTTGGAGGAGATAAGAGAGTGGGGGGGGGGTGTCGCCCTGGGGTTTTCAAAGGCCGGGCAGCCAGCTGCAGGGGCTGCGTTATCTCAAGCGCTGATTGGCTCAGAGTGATTCTGAGGAGCTGCAGTGGTCTGTGGAGGCCAGCCCAGTACAGGACTGGGGGCGACCGCAGGATCCGGGTATCACCACCGTGGGACGGACATCCTGCAGATACCATGATTTCACTCAGGCGGAAAAGGGGGGGGCATGGGCGCTTACAGTGCACCCATAAACAATACTTGGTCCTAGTCCCAGCACTGTTTGGGGCCCCCCGAGGTCTGATACCGCGTCCCGGTCCCGACCAGACAGACGGGCCGCCCCCCCCAAGCCTTATAACTCCTTGTGCCGCTTGCCCGGACCCCAGCGCTCTGTTCCGGCCTGGTTCTGTGGGTCAATTGGGGTGAGTTGATGCTGGCGGAGACCTGGCAGCAAGTGGGGGGTGGAAACATCCCACGTTCCACATAAAGGGCAGGAGGTGCGGGAAGTCAGCGTGAAGCTCCGAGGCTCCGAGGGCTTGTTCCTCCGATGGAACACCGCTTCCCTCCAAAATCCGGCAGGAAAATCCTAATTACACACAAGATGGAGGAACAGCCTGACGCGATACGCTCGGCGTACTCGTCTGAATTTAAAAAAGCAACCTCAAGTTCATTTTTCACGGTAATGTTGGGCTGAGGTTTTACATCTCGCATGTGGTCCCATGCCGTTCCGTTTAGCCGGACGCCTCCGTTGTGATCTGCAGGGCTGCGGCCTTGAAATTGAAAAATAGTATCGTAACAAATTGCAATTACTGAATTGTGGCTAATTAGGATTTATAGTGCAGGAATTGCCAGAGTATGGAGGAGTGGAGCGTGTCCGGGGGATTCTACGCTGATTTTCACCTTGTGAGCAGATGTTTCGCTGGGGGTCCATTGTGGTGAGGAGCTGGGGTCCCTAAAGCGTAAACACACACTTACTGTATTTCACATTACAGTATCAGCTGTCAGCTACTTCAGATTATTCCTGAAATTCTCTCTCTTGGACTGAATACCTATCATACTGGCATTTTACAGTTAAGTCATTTTTTTAATGAACATCATATTTCTGGAGTTTCTAAATAGCTTGAAAGACCATTTTTACTATAAGTAACCTTAAGAAAGTCATTCATTAAAAAATAAAAAGTAGCCTCTCTCTCTAAAATATCCATCCATACATACATACTTCTAACCATTTACCCTGCTGTGATTCACAGCTGATGGGATACCAGTCTGTCTAATATATACATATATAATCCATCCATCCATTATCCATATATAATATACAAGTAAAATACTTTTAAACTTCCTGCTGGACAAGTCAATCCAAATAAATTCCAATTTCCTGCTAGACAATCCACCAAAAGCATTAGAACGATAAAAAGTTTATTTTTTGTACGTTAAAAAGAACGTTCGCTTCCACGTACAAAACGAAACGGACGGATATATCTCCCCGCTTCCTTCTGAATCTAATTTTGCCACTTATCTGTTTGAATCTGACCAGTTTTTTCTTTTCTTCGCCATATTTGAAAGTTTGTTTTTCCACTATAGGAAGACCACATCAAACACAGAGGCATTGCAGTGGAGGAGCAGCCAGGCTAAGTAGATTAACTTAACTCAATATCTTACGCAAATAACTGGGAGCCGTGCTCCCTCTCATCCCGGCCCTGAAAGGTGCGGCTGCCTGTAGCTGGGACAGGGCGGCAGAGGTCCAAGCGGGGGCCGGGAGATCTGCCCTCAGCTATCTCTTTAACCCCCCCGCCCTGGCCTCTGTTTCCAGGCTCCTGTGATGAATTACTGCCCCGCTCTGCCGACCCCCGTCCTCCCCCGCCCCCGGGCCAGCGGCCGAGGCCCCTGGGGTCTGCCAGGTCACGCCGGTCAGGACGGCTGGACTAGGGGACGCGGCTTCAGGGGGCCTGATGCTATCTGTGGACAGGAAGAGCTCAGTACCACTTCCTTTTCTGTCAGGCTATTTAATCCCATTTACTGGCCCTTCGAGGCTCTCGGCGCCCCGGCAGGGTGACACCGGTTCGCAGGCATCGTCGCCGTCGCCAACTCCCCTCACCCCCACAAGGCACTGCTTCGATCAGACAGAGATGCTTCCGGTGTGGGGGTGCTCAGAAAGCCCCCCCACCCCGATGCTTTTATTGTGTGTTTCAGGCCATGCAGGGGCACGTGGCTCTGTGTCCAACACGCCAGCCCTCACAGGCGCCAAGGTGGGGCAGTGGCTGGGTTGTGGGTTTCGGAGGCAGTTGCCGAGCAACTTGGGGGATTATTGTCACCGACAAACTCACACACGCATGAGACATACAAACTGGCTTAAGGACAGATATATGAATCCTGGCTTTCCATGTCTTTGATCTTATAAATGTATTTTTCTTGCAAGGCTCATATATTTTTACAAACAAAAGCTACTGATTATCCACAGAAAATCCATGTAAAAACTTAAATGGGAATCAGGGATCAGTCTGAGATTTGGTATCCCCCCCCCCCATATGGCAGTCATGTGAAACTGTCCCCCGTACATCATTGGGGCAGCCACAACATGACATCACCACCTGGGTAGCTCTCTGACCTCCACGCAGTGACGTTACGCCCCGGTGTTCCAGTGCGACGTGTGCGACCACGCCGTCCTTCCCGGCGGTATCCGACGGAATATCCGGGTTTCACAACTTCATCTTTGCGCGAATGCAGATTCCCTAAAAAGGAAAAGCAGGAAAAAAGGAAAAGTCGGGAATGGTTTTCTGTAGAAACTCGATCCGGTGCCTAATCAGGCCATCGATTCCCCGGCGTAATGTGGGTCAAACATCCCAGATCTGCTTTCAAAGGAGCAGTGAATCAATTTCCATAGAACAAATCCCTGCCCTGTTTGCATGAGGCCCGGACTCTCATACGCGTTTCAGCACTTCCCTAACCTTTTTGATCACATTCGGGAGGGAAGGCGCAGTCAGCCTCTGATTAGCGGAAAACCCTCCCGACGGAATGTGGGATTTTTTCCCCCAACTATCCCATTTTATAATTTAACCCAGAGTGGCTGCAAAAACATGTGAAAGTGTCATTTTTAGGGATGAGATTTTCTTCTTCCTTTTTAGACACTCTGATTGCATGTCTGCGGACCGTCGTGCATTTCTGTTAACTGTGATTTATTTTGTCTGGGCTGACATTTTTGAGTCCCCCATGTAACTCGCAAACATACCATCCATCTTCCATTAATGCTTACCCAGAGTAGACTAACCACATTGCAGGAATTGCAGGACCAAAGAGTGTAAGATCAGGACCAGTGAGGCCAGACCCACGCAGATTAAGGTGTCTTACATGCTGGTTAGATCAGTCACTCTGAGATCATGCTCATTCACAGGGTCGCCCCTTCTCCTGATCAGTCTGCAACTGAAGTGTGGGTGGAAACCAGTGTTATTATTTATGCTAAAAATACGGAGAAGGACAAAGATGACCCAGGGTAGGTGTTAACCCACAAGCCCCCCAGGCGGTGCAACATCTGCAGTCACCCACCCCTCCCCACAAGCACAAATAAAATATAAACATTTATTAATTTTCAGAAGTTGTTTGCATCACAAATCACTGATAACCCATTTCCTGGAATTTGCCATCACTGACTCACTAAGTCACTGACGTTCTTGTAACAACTGTTATTGCCCAAAGTTCCACAGAAGAGCAACACTCCAAGTTAATTGTCTTTAAATATTATGGGAACAAACATAAAATCTGTGGAGAAGGTAGAGAAACGGAGACTCCTGACTGACAGAGTTATTCAGGGATGGTAACGCATGTTACGATAAACTAATTAATTGTGCCCCAGGAATCCTACAAAAAAATGATAGTTCTGCCAAGGTCTTGTGGAATACATCTGCAAAAGGAATTCATTTTAAAGGGAAAAGAGCCCCTTTCATCAAGGGGGGGGGGGAAGTCTTTACCTCTGGCTTGAACAGCACTGGGACCCACAATCCTACCAGCTTCTGGTTAGAGTATCTGTGTCTTTATTCTAATCCAGACACATTTACACACTGGGGGGCTGGCTGTCACTCCCTTGATCATTCCTGGAGCTAGGGTGGGGGTGGTTCTGAGGGTGGGGGTGGTGGTGGTGGTGGTGGTGGGGGGGGGGGTCTTTGAGCGGGAGGATTTGGACCTATCTAAGTGTTCATCAATCAGGCTCATGCTGGAAATTCGGGTTCCTGGAGCCAAAACCTCACTGCCCGTTTGGGAGAGTTTCCTACTCTCAAAGCCATTCCTCCCAAGGCTTGTAGGACAAGGGATTTCCGTGACAGCGATCCTTGGTTTAGATTGAAATGGAGAGAAGGTTCTGGAGATGTTCAGAGACACGGCAGGGTCATTGTCTGGTAGCTGTACTTGTCTTTAAGATGTTTTGAGGTCCATTGGATTCAGACACCACTGCCGAGTTGGACTGGACTGGGCACCAAGGCCATTGTCACCCCTATCTGTCCTGCAGGCTTACTGGCTTGACCAATTATGTCACTGCACCTTTAAAATGGGCCAGGAAGTAACCTTTTCAGGTTTGGGATCATGGGATTGAAACACATAAGATCTCAGCACTGCCAAGTCACTTTATCTCTGCCCTAGAGCCCAGTAAACAATAGGCCCCATAAATTTGTAGCTAATCCACCCTAAAAACAGGTGTGTAATCTAGCTCTCTGGCACAAACAGTCCCGGCGCTGGTCTTTCCCACCTTCTGTACTTTGGCTTTCATACTTTATGGAAAGCCCAAGGAGCTGGACACGAATATCTCCGCTTGTTTTGGCCGTGGCTCGTCTACTGCATGTTGCAAAAGATCTTTGGCGTTAAATGCAAAAAATTTTAGAGAAAGTAGCAGATCCGTTCTGAGGACTTTCGCGTGACTTGACTGCATTTGGAGTCTTAGGCCCCCACGCTCCAGCAGGGCTGACCACCCATACTGCCTGACTGCTGGGTTCAAGCACCACAAAGATGGTGCCTGAGCAGAACTATTACTCTCCTCACGGACAACAAAAATATTTGAATAATTGTGGTCATTTGTCATTTTTTCCCCCCGTAGATCTTGAATATCTCCTTTACATGTAATGCACCTGGTCACCGGTCAGTTGTTAATCATTTAACCATCAGTTTTGCTACACTGTGTGTTTGTGAATCTTTGCTTTATCTCTTGATCATTCCAGTTGTACAACTGCACTAGCGGAAGATGTTTTCTTGGACAACAGAATAGTCATCCAGTCCACCTCTCTCTGTTTCGATCCGACGGGGTAGCATTTGATCACCACTCAGTCGTCTTTTGTGGAGTAACGGCGTTCCTGGACCTGGTTACTCCCCTCCCAGCGTTTGCACCCTCAATATATCAGAGGCTTTACCCTCTTCAAGCGCCGTTTTGGCTAAAGAGGCCTGTGATGGATGTGACACTTTATGCATCACTGATATTGAACCTCTTAGCGATAAATTACCATGAAAATGTGCTTAGGTCTTAAATCCCTTTTAAATTAAAAAGCAGAGAATATAACCGGTAAATATGATCAGTTAATTTTTGTCAAACCATCCTCCTTGCCTGCACACCTCAGGTTAATAAAACTAAATATATTCAGTAACTATAATTCCATAAAAAATTCTAAGCCTCAGCAAGTTGAGTATCAAGCAAAACTTGGTCAAATCAATCCTAAGGTTTGTTGCTTGCTGATGGATTTGCTTCTTGAGAAACTATTTGTTAATTTAGGTGGGAAGCTGAAACATTGGAGCAGGCTTGTGAAACTGGCACGGTCTGCTGTTCACGAGCCATTTCAGAAAAATGATAAATAAAATGTAAAATTCCAGCGACCGGTGGTTTTATTTGGCCGTAATGATCATAACGGAGGCTTTGGGGTCTAAGGCGGCCTCCTCTGTCGCTGGGATTCCGGCTTCGTTCCTTTTTCTCCTGAAGCAGCTGGCAGTCAGAGTTGGAGCTGCTCAGAAGAGCATTTTGGGGAGGAACTGTACGGGTTTTTTTTTAGCTATTTGTACTGGAACTCCAACCCGAATCCGTAAGGATTTGGTTTTGTTTCATGTGGATCTGGGGAACGGGAGAGAGGGGAGGAAAATTCTTACATTTTAGAAACAAGAGAAAGAACATAATTATTGGCCCAACGATATCAAAAGCTTTCATCCCCAAACGTAGCTAACCAAAATGTGAAGAACAAGTTTATTAAACAGCAGTTGAGAATCCCGGGAAAATAATCCTGCAATGGTAATCTGTGTGACTCTTCTATACAAAGTTGTTATTTTATCTTATTACTTTCAGAAGCCTGGTAACTTCGGGATTCAGCATAATATAATCTGTAATATACAGAAATTTGTTACTGAAAGTGTTTTACCCGTATATTCTGCTTTTCTACACTTGACTACAGCTGTACACTGCAGACTGCAGAAAATGCAGGATCGATGGTTCGATTTAAAGTTACCTTAAAGTAAAAGGCTACTCTTGGTGAAGCACAACGAATTCAATCTCATTCCCGCAAAACTAAATATTTTGAATAGAAGGAAAACACATTTTAACTGGTTTGTAATATGGGACAAGAAATTTGCAAAATGTTGCTGTCTTAAATATCAATCAATAGCACTGTTTTGCGTCCCAGTGGGGAAAATATCACCTAGAAGATGACCGATCTGCGAAAGCCGATATTCTGCGGGGAATATAACGGAGAGTATCTGTTTCTAAGCGTCCGCGTTTCTGGAACATTCTTCCCAAAGGCTGGTAACCCAGAACCCAGAGGTCTGGATCGAGGTGAGCTGACTGATACCTCCAGGAAATGGAGACGACCCCGTGTTATGACAAGGACCGATTCGAATCTGTCAAGGAACGATGCAACAAAACCATACCAGACAAAAGGCCATTATTGAGATGCGGAGCCTAATTCCAGCCTAGGGTCTGGCCTGGAAAAAGGCTGCCCGCTAAATATGGAAACAAGTTTCCCTCACATCTGAAAGACAAAAATAACCATGTTTCTGCAGTATATTATACGTTTTCTTTTTTTCTTTCCTCTGTGTGAGCACAAAAGCACGAGCAGAATTTCTTCTGTGATAATACTGTCATCATCTCCGCAGCTTCAAAGGCCCCTGGTCCAGTCAACTGGGATTTTCGCTTTTCGTCTGGGGGGGGATGGACCGCGCTCTTCCCCCCGGCTCAGGCTTCGGCCAAATTGATAACAGATTTCCTGCTCCCCCCTCTGGAGGGGGTCCACACCTCGTCACTGTTGACAGCCCATACCGATTTTCTTTTTTGTTTTGTTTTTTTTTTTGACATGCTTCTTAAAAAAAGTTCTAGCGATGACATTTGTTTACATGAGGAATGGCCTTCCACTTTGTGCGAGCGGACCAGGCAGGATGTCAAATCGACACATAGGATATGATGTCATAGAAGTTTGTGTTGGATTGCATCCTGCCGCATGCAGCCTGTGTGGCTTTGCTGTCTTGTTCTCCATTGATATAGTTTCATCGGAGTATCTGAATGGATCAGAACCACCAGTCCACACGATGTTTTGCATCCACTGTTCTTCTGGTCATGGGACAGATGTTGGGCTTAGGAGAAACGGCTGCTACATGTCCTTTAATCATTAATGTACGATGCTAACATTTACATTTTATTCATCGTTTATTAAAAATTAATTGCATAATAGCAGGCCTGGTCCACACAGATTTTGTCAGATTTAAACTCCACCCAATACCT